GACAATTCATTTTCACAGTTGCTGTCGCTTTTTTCAGTTTTTGAATCACGTCTAAATGAGGCTGGGATTTAGGGTTTAAGATTTTTCTAAACTTCTAGTGAGGACGTGAACTGGTAAAATTTACTCGTTCTTCTGTAAGCGTTAGATCAGTTTTAGAATCTTGCTAACAAGCAAATGAGCACGCAACACTATTTAGTTTCAAGCGAGAGTTACTTAACAAAATTTTGAGATGACGTCATAACATTTTTGAAAGGTATGAACAGATAGACGAATTCTGATTAGGGATTATGACTTTATAAAAGAATCAAACGCGATAAAAGATGAATCTGTTGTGTCCCCATTATCCATATGCACAACATTTAAAATTTATTATCCTCAACCACAGTACGTCATAAAACACGTAATAAGCAAAAAACAAACAGAAAACACATCACGTCGACTTTCAGATCACCACAGACCGCTTTACAAACATTTAATCAGTTAAAGAGTCCAGACGAGTGGCGAACTTTGTCCACTTATCACATGTTAGAAGAATGACAGAAGCAGAAAAAGGAAAAAGTCCATCGACTGACATTCGGCATCGTTTTTTAAATGTTTCGATCAACCCAAAGTGTCTAATTTGCACTCATTCATCGAAAAACTTCCGCCTTTTCCCCTATTTCGCAAAAAAAACCTTCTTCGCACCAAAGGTCGGCGGCAGAATTTTTTTCTTTTTGCAGAGTATATCTTGCAGCGATTTGCATTTGTTTACAAGAACATTTGCATGCCTGCTAGATGTGTCCTTTGGATTAGCGTGTCGGTCTGTCTCGTTGCACAGATAAACCTCGTAAACATTCTAAGTAATTAATATCCATTATATCTGCACTTCCTCGTGAAAAAATAAACGCCAAAACCGTCGCAAATAATTTTTCGCCGATGTTGCAACTGTATGTTCTAGCACTAACCTAACTTAACAACTAAAAATAAACCGACTCGTTCCGTATAATCAATGTGACTTGGAGACTGCTTGGTTTTGGCTCTTTTTTGAGGGTACATCAAGGTGACAACGGGACCGAAATAGACGTTCTTATTACGTCGCAGAGAGTACTACGAGGTGGCTATTATCTAGTATAAACGGGGAAGATCGGAAAATAATAGCGAGAACGAGTGCTATAAAACGGAGGTTTAAATGTTCCAACGACCTTCGGAAGTAATTGTGTAATAATTACTGCTTCGATTTATGTTTTATCTCGGCTAATTCCATGTCTTAAGTATCCGGATTTGTGCCAAGTTTTTATGCAAAATTCTAAGCGATATTGCGGCTGGAGTAGTGAGAATTTTATGCATGCTGAGCATAAAAGTGGCGCTCATTGTGTCGATGTTGTACAATTGGGTTCATTCACTCGCTGTGTTTACATTTATTTTTCGATTACGAAGGATCAGGCGGATCGGAGGCGAATTTTCCCGGAAAAGATGAGGGAAAGAGCGAAGTACGGAGTTCAAACGAAATTCAAATAATGCGACTTAGAAATCATGAGTGACTTTTGACACAATATGAAATGAAATAATTATGATCTGGATTAGTGTTAAGCGTTCGTGGGTTTTCTAGACAGAAAATAAAAAATTGGTGAAAAATGATTAAGACAGTTTTCTCTGAAGCAGATCAAATCAGAGTATTTATGTAAGAATAAACATTTTAATTTTACTAAATAGAGTAAAAATATTAGTAAGCCAACAAGATTTTTCAGAAATCCGTTAGGTAGTTTCTAAGCTAAATCGTGGATTTTTCTCTGATAACACATTTCCACTGAAGATTACTTAGCAAGTGTTGGAGATGACGTCATGGAGATTTTGGAGGAGACGAACTTTGCTGTGTGCAAAATTTCAGAGCAACTGACTACGTACTTTCTAAGATCATTTGTAAAATTTTGTGTTTTCACTCTGAATTTTTTTTCCACAATCCACATGCGCAGGTTTAAAAATAGTGATGGATTCATCAACCGCAAATAAAAACTTTACAATGTTGTACTTTTCAAATGAGATGTTATTTTGATATGACCTCATCAATTTTCGGAAACGATCTATAAATAAGCAGTAATTTGGTAGGTTTTCTAGTTTCTAAATTTTAATTAAAAAATAAAATGATTCTAACATAGCTTTGAATATTTTTGCAAAACTCTATATGCATAAGGTTTAACATACAGGCAAATTAATAAACATCAAGTGCGGAACTTGGATCTGAAATAGAATTTACTCAACAAAATTTCGAAATGGTATCATCAAAAAGCGGTTGGCGTTGTAAAATTTTATGTAATCTATCCACTAGTTTCTAAGATCATCCGTCAAACAGAATCACCCAAAAGCGACAGACAGACGGAAATGGAGGATCTAATTTTTCATATTCTAGGTACTAAATATAAAACGTTGGGAAAACATGAAAATAGAATTAAATAGTGGGAGTTTTTTGTCTTCATCCAAATTTTTAGAAATCTTCCCTGACAAAGAATCTCATCTTATTTTTCTTGCAGTAATGCCATTCTTGAACCTGCTGCTTTCACGCACCTGGTGTATTTCATGAGTATACCACGCTTTCAGAATTCCAAATATTAGAATACTTTGAATCCATACATTATGAGTACATTTGATTAAGCAAATTCTGTATAGTTATATTATGTATTGTTCATAAAAATATTCTTCAGTTGGAAATTTTTGCAAAAAAGTCAACATCGAGGTCTTACGGTAATTATAATTTATTTAATTATTTTTAGAGAATCTTAATTGATTATATTATTCGCTTAGTTTGTAAAACAGGAACCGTCACTTTGAAAAGTGAAAACACTAACCAGACATTGTCTAATCATCCCCACCAACAATTGATGATGTCATCTCAAAATTGTAGACAGTAAATGTGTGTAAATTGTATAAAGTAACACAGTCCTGCATGTGTAGTTCATGAATCCGTGTTGATTTTTTACCCGAGGCATCCAGTTTTTTTGAAAAAAAAGTCAAAATTGTAATTGTCATTTTGCAATTTAACTTTGCATCTGCACAACCGAATGCTTTAAAATCCTACAGACGTTTTAAAATTATGGTAAATTTTTAATCAAAATATATTTGCGTATACCCTAAAAATTGATGATGTTAGAACAGCAGAAACGTTGATGAGGTCATTACAAAATTTTGTAAAGGAAGAACTCATTTGAAGTATATGCTTAGCACGCTTCTTTACATTTGCTTTAACAGTACATATATATTTTTATTTAATTTATCGAGGATCGTTTAAAAAAATAAAATTCGCAAAATCAAATTTTATAATTTTTCGAAAAAGCTGGATACGTTTTATTGTTGATCAGGGGCGAGGGAAGTTCTGTCGACATAACCTTCGACCAATTTCTTTTTGTTGTAGTAGTTTTCACTATCAGTGGCGTTCCTGAATTTTCTACATCACATAATATCGTCTACTTTACTTTATGAGCTCCGAAATTCCAAATATTAGAGTAATCTGAATCAATACGTCATAAGTGCCCTGAGTTAAACAAGTTTTTCACATATATGGCATCAATTTTCAATAATGAACTTGAATTAGACTTAAAATTGTGACCGATAAATATATAAAAATTAAAGTATGGGTCCTTTTGCTGAATTAATTAAACAATGCAGAATTTGTTATTTCAGTTTGTCCCAGTTAAGTAATGCGTAGAGCAAGTAAAGAGGCAAAATATACCTAAAGAATTAATTAAATCTGTAATCGAAAGTTTAAAATTTGTTCACAATTAATAAATATGATTTAAGATTTATGACTATGACTGAGTGAAACGTGAATTTCAAATAAACTAGAAAATTTGGACAAGTACCTGCGCTTTGTCATCATGACATTCACATAAATGATTAATTAGAACTGTACTGATAAAGAATTTTTTTTCAAACATATTCTTCGTTTGTATTCCATGCTTTTTAAGTTCATTATTTCCAAAACTATGCACTCAAAATGCAGTGACAACAATTTTTTTAACTGCATAAATAGAATTTTTAGTTTTAGTAATTTGAATGTTTTAGTATGCACTTTGATTTGGTTGTCGTACCTATATTTTTTTATAATAAGTAGGTCCTTAAAAGTTTACCTTAAAATACAAAAGTACCGACTACAGTATAACACAGAGTGAATTTTTTTGTTCATTTATCATTGTATTTGCTAACGTAAGGACTTTATTGTCTAAAATTAAAAAGTAAACGATTAGTACTACTTATTTTTTAATATAAAAAGTTGTACACTTTACTTTGCCACATAAAATTTCAAATCAATAAATATTTTGAAACTTTGAGAAATTTACAAGTTTTGGAAGTACCGAAGGAGAGTTTAGTCCTATTTCGAAAATCATCTGTCCATTATTTTGAAAAACCATAGTATTAGTGCACTGAAAAATTTCACAGATTTCGTAAATTTAAAATAAAAGTCCAATTTAATTAATCTTAGCTTTAAATTAATAAAACTCACAATGGCAGTATACTTTTAAAGATAAATAACTAAAATTAGACGTAAGCAGTTCGATAAAATTAAACATTCGAATGCTTAACAAGCAAATACACGAGTTAATCTATATGAACCAAAGTGGAGTTTCCTGACCCTAAAACATCTTATTGAGATAACTGTAAAATTTTCAGAAATAAAAAGTGCAACACTGAACGTGCAAATTTTAACGACTTCGTGTGTTTTTCAAAAACAACTTTAAAACGCCACACTTTCCTTTTTTAATAACCAGTTCTAAAAATACTTTAACAGTTTTTTAAAAATAATTTACTGCAAAATTTTGCGTCAGCCATTATATGATATACAACCTGACAAGTACAGTTTGAAATACACTTATATAAAATTTATTCTTTTTTCATTGCCGCTGTAAATATGTATATTCATTACGAGTTTTATTATAATCGTAAAAGCTTATATTATAGGAAGTGTTTTTCGTTAGAATAACTGTACGTGCCATAGTGCTGTGTCGTGAACTAGATGATAAACCGTTTGTTATTCAAATCGCCTTCACTGTCATAAATCTTTAAAATTTTAGTACTGCGACAACAGGGAAAACACTTTTTTTTAAATTGTTTATTAAAGACCTATTCCCGGAATATAATTGCTGTTGGGCGGATGCACCATGCGCTCGTGGGCTCTCGATGTAGATAAACTGTCTGCAAGACGCATGTGTGCTGCCCTGACCGCTTTGTACATATCCACTCCTGTAGGAATCATGTAAATAAGAGGCACTGCAAGAATTTGAATGTAGAGTGTCGGTCGTTGTGTTTCTCTCTTTTACCGTGTTCCATTACGAGAACTATAACTAAGCTCAATTTAACTTTTTCGTCTGAAAGAACATAATACTGAGTTAGAAGCCCCAGAGCCTGAATTATGATACCACAAATATTAAAACACAAAAAGGTTATAATGCACACTCGATCCTCCTTTGGAAAAATGGCTATTAAAAGTAATTAGTTTGGGGAGTGAATTACCTTCAGAACTCCAACTATTAAGATTAAAGCTCCCAAAGTCTGTATCACTATGTTCAACACGACAACAGTCTGAGGTGCTAAAAAACGCTGTTTAGTTGAGACAACGATAAAGACACATACAACCTTCCGGGAAGGGGTAAATGCTGATTAAGGCCGTTTTGACAGCAGCAAAGATCTGAAAATTTCATTTGTCATGTCATTAATCTCGACACAATTAACTTACGATGATTATCGCAGCTCCCAACAAAGATTCTGTCCGTAGGCTGAGAAAAAAAATTGTCATTGCGACAGTTTGACAGTTGTCAATATTGTTCGGCAAGTTTTTATGAATGAGTGGAAAAAGGTTGTAATTAGTGGGTAATTTAAGTAAAAGAATGACTCACTCAGAGTTATTTTAAATGCACTATTAATTTTTCATTACTTGACAAAAGTAAACGCATTGTTTTTACTTTTTTAATGGATCATGAAGTAAGACTCAGTTTTGTTTGTGTAAAAATAATAGTAATTATTTTTTAATTGCTTAATTGGTAAGTGTACAGACAAATTTGGGTTCGTGACTCACAGAAATCATTTGAATGTTGTTTTACGGCTGACTGAGGAAAGTAATTTTTTTTCAGTGCACTGGGATCCGCAACGATAGTTCATTAGTGGGTTTCTAATTTTTAGAAAATTGGAAAAAATACAAAATGAGTGAGTCTGATAACAGTTGTAAGGGAAGCTTAGCAAGTCCTTAAAAAATCTGAGACATTAGAGGAACTTACAATGTATTGTAAGTTCCTCTAATGTCATCATCTGTAGATGGGTTTTTATTAAGTCTTTATACGTCGATGATCCAATTAAAAATGATAAACAGTTTCAAGCTGTTTAGGCAGAAAGAATTTTTCAATAAAGGTTTATACTGTTTATGTTTAAAATCACTAAAACAATGCTAGTTAATATATTCTAAAATCTTGTTCTGCACATTAAATTTTTTTGTAATATGTAAATATAGTGACGTAAAACTTTCTTATTTTAAAATTAATGCTTGCTAACTGTAATCCTTTGAAACTCTTTAAAAAATAAAATATCTGTCAAAAATAAAATAACAGCGCTGCCGAAAATTCTTTCATACTATTAAAAAATACATTAGAGGCCCCCACGATTCTTTCACACTCAAAAGCAAAAAGGCCCCTACTATGTTTCCAAATTCATATTCTTTCAAAAACAAAATACAATTCATTAATTTTTTTGAACAACCTCTTTAAGCAACTCTAAAAAATATAAAACTATAGATGTAGATCCATAATATTTTCCAGATTTAGGATAGGATTTACCCATAAAAATTTTGAGATGACCTCATCAAGCTTTTGGGAAAGATAAACAACATTTTGAATTAGAGATTTGCCATATTGACCATAAACTTAAAACGTTTGCAAGCTTTCAGAACAGTCCGTTTTATAGTTTCTCAGTTACATTGTAAAATGTTGTTACACAATTTTAATGTTGTTATCCAAAAATGTAGACGTCTACAGTAGAAAATAAAGACAAATTAATAGTACCACAGCTACAAAAGCATGTTGTTTTATAAAATTTATGATGCCTGATGAGTGATGACGGTATTGTGTGCCGATATAGCAAAAATCAAAATTTAATTAAAAATCCCCTTTTTCGTTAAATGTATATGTAAAAATCCGAAGAACTGTGAAGCTGTCGTACATCCTAGTATACTAAATGATTCGTTCTTTTCTCACAAACCTTGAAGCATATTTTTAAATTATGCCCTCAAACAGGATCAGAACCCACTAATATTTCATTAAAGGCTGATGAAACACACTGTAGATCTTGTACTCATTAAAAAAAGTGTACAACACAGATGAGCAACAGTCGAGTACATGTTACTTAGTATCGTTTTTACTTTTCCCCAGAAAAGGCGATAAAAATCTAGATAACAAGATAACAACAGCATCTGTTCTTAGAAAACGATTTACGTTATTTCTTCCACTATCGCGATATGTGGACTTGATAAAACAATACAATTCCGGTTTAAAAAATCCCGAGTACATGAAATATTAGTAAATCAAGTGATTAATTTACTTACAAAAAACTAAAACCAATGTTTTGTTTCACTCAAAGCGAAACTAATCTCGTCCGACAATTCAAGTGTCCGGTGAAGTACATTCATTCATCTTCACCAAAAAAGATGCTATCACCTCAAGTGAAAAATCTTGATTTTAGCCAACAGTACCACTATCTCGCCAGCTTTATTTCATAAAGTAAATATTTTTCTTACATAATAATCTCTTTGCTATAGAAAACGTTGAATATTTAAAAATAAAAGTAGGACAGGCTTAAGTAACGATGATAATCAAGTTTAATTATTACTCATGAAAATCTCATCGAAACTAGACCAGATATCACGCCATTGGAGTGGACTTTTCGTGGTCGTGCATTTTTACCTCTGCTAATGGCGGAATTTGTGGAAAAAACCAGTCACCGTTATCTGATAGGATGACATGTGTAGAATAGGAATTTCCTGAAAATGACGGAGATGCACCGCCCGCGGTAACAAGTAAAGTGGACGAAACGTCGTATCAGGAACAATATAACTGCTAGCACCGCAAAAACCAACAAGTACTCACCCGTAAATGTCACCACTCTACCAACTTTCACATTTGTTTTATGAGTCACGCTGTATTTTTTCCAGCAGTGTTTCCTTTGTGCGCGTTCTCCGGCCAAATCAAACCGCAGAATAGGCCCCGGTTACTTATTAAAAGATAAAAACAAGAATGTTTAAACGACGTCGAATGAAAAACATGTAACATAACGATGTTACAAAAAAGGGTGTTACAACTGACGTTCTAATTTTTTGAAGTGGATAAGAATATATAATGTTTAAATTCCTTGCCTTCCTGTTTCTGTCTTCATTTTGATCTTAAACCAACGCTTATTAGCAACGCGCGGAATTGTGTTTCATACGCTCGATCCAGTGCTGTCGCGGCGATAGTTTGATTACAAATATATTTTTCTTTTGGACTATATCAACATAATATAACATTTCAAGATCACAAATCTGTGGTCCTGTGTTTGAAAAATTAAAAAGGGCATCGAGTATTTTTATTTGAAGTAATATAGTAATATAGAAGTAGTTTTTTAACAAGCTGTAAACACTCCAAGCGACGCACTGGCTACGACCTTGTGGACCAGATCAAAGCGTCCCCGCTACTCGCCGTAAAACACACCTTGCTTCAACTGGGGAATTGCATCCGTAAGATATTTTTCCGCCCAGTGCTTATTAGTAAAGAGCAAACTCATGATAGGTATTCTTGAATTTAAAAAGATTTTGTAAAAAATTGTTAAAAGAAATCAATTGATTTTTATTTTCATTGACTAGGGTGCATTTGACGAATGACTAATTTCATTCTGGTCGACGTTTCATAAATCCGAAATTATGGAAAAGTAGGTACATATTTAGGTCTCCTTTTTCCGTCTGTTCCGTCTAGTTTATTAATCTGCTTAGACGTGTAGATTGTAAGATATACATATGAATATCATGTGGATGGTAAATCGCTGACCAAAATTTATCTCATCATCCCCACCAACAATTTGATAACGTCATCTCAAAATCTTGCTTGGTAATGCTATCTAACTTTTATAAAATTACATACTTCCGTATTTATGGCTTATGAATCCGCTTTGATTTCTTACTCTAGGTATCCACATTGTTTTCAAAAAACATCCAAATTGCATAACATTTAATATTTTATAGCAGTATAAGAGAAACACAGTTCAAGTAGTCGCTTGATTCGATTGAAGTAGCGTCATACTAAAAACGCGAAGGTCGCCGGTTCAATTCCTTCATGGGCCAATTTTTTTCTTACACTGTGACTGGTATTAACTGCATTTTTTAAAGTATAAGGGTTATCATAAAATAAATAAAATTTCGTAAAATCAAATTTTATAATTTTTCGAAGAATCCTACACCAATTTTTGAAGAAAACGATATCAAGATACAACCTGTGAAAGTCGTCGAGTAGTTTAACACTCAAAAAAATCTGTAAATTTAAAAATAGGTAAAACATTTTATTAAACGCTGTTTTTTGTTATGTTTCATATAATAAAATTTGGCATATATACGGAGAACAGAAGTAATGAATATAATAATCGATACAATAATTATTGGGTTTCAAGGAGGGTTGAAGAAAGTTGTTACTAAAAATTTTAGATGTTGCTTTTAATTGAGGAAAGCTGATAAGAGTGTGAAAACTTTTATAGTTTTGGAAATTTCCTTCTACCCTATACAATTTTATTGGCAATAACGAGACGGACAGTTGTACAATAGCAAGAGATATTTACAACTTAAGCTGGCGCGTGTCGGTAATCCCCAGATGTTAGAAAGCACAATAATCCAGGTCCGAACAGGGATCATCGTTACTCAGGAACGAAAATGACCATTATTTTAAAGTACAACTACCTACTAAATGTTCCAGACAAATTCGAGTGAACTGGTGTGAGCCGTAAATATTTCTTACCATTGTACTACTGTCCGTCTCGTTATTGCCAATAAAATTTTATAGGGTACAATGAAATTTCCAAAACTATATACTGTACAGCTAATAATGTGAGTTCCACAGGAATTTTTTCATAATAAAACTAAACTCTTATTTTCCATTAGTGAATTACAAAATTAATAATACGATAATTGTAAAATATATAGTTGAAACAAGAAAAGGTAGAACTAGCCGTGCCAGATTAGATTATAAATTATTATTAATTGGGGAACAACGAAAAATTAGAACTAGGATCTCCGAGGCATGCCAGTTTTAATAATTTTAAATGTATGAACATTTTTTACGAACAGCCGAGTGTAGGTATGTACAAAAAAAGGTGTTTCACACCATGTTCAAATATTACTCAGTATTATTCTTAACTTTTCAGTACAGTACAATAAGTAAATAAAATAATGACGATAAAAATATAGATAGGTAAGATAACACCGTCTTTGAATCTTTTATCTGATATTTTTCCACGTAAACGATGAACATGTGTAGTTAATAAAGACAATGAAAGGAAAGGTCAAAAATTCCTTTATATCGAAACGAATCATACACACGAAGGGTGATGAAATTAAATTATTAGCACTGAAATGACAAAAGAGGAAGTTTTTTCTAATTTGACCACTATACACAGTTCTATGAATCATGAACAAAATTACACCAGGTGTCTACTAGACAAAAAAAGGAAAAGGCCACTTTACAAACCTTAATTAAATATTACTTACAAAAACCACTTCCACGGAGAATCCGTGCCTCCTATTGTTCGAAAATATGACCTGAGCATAATCTGTCTTTTCTGAAAATGAAAAACGAGATGCCGTACCAGAGTCTCACAAAATGCAACAGTATACTAACCTTTAAATGCAGGTTTCCTTAGTGAATCACTCTATATTTTCTGATCGGTCTTCAGGACTCCTGATGTTTTATTTTTAAAAGAATTTGAAAAAATCTCGGCCACCTTTGGTTTTTGTTTTTGAAAGAATTTGAAGGAATTTTGGAGGCCCCAAGTGTCTTTTTTCAAGAATGTGAATTTTATTTTAACCCTTTATCTTGTTTTTGAAAGTATTTGAAGAAATTTTAGGGATGCCTGATGTCTTTGTCACGTGAGTTTAATTTTTGAAAAAAAAAAATTAAGAAATGACGATCTCGGTATTTTGTTTTTGAAAGAGTCTGATAAAAAATGATGTTATGTACAGAAGTAATAAATCCATGCAATTGTGTTTCAAGGAGGGTTGACGGAAGTTATATCTAAAACTAGATATTGTTTCTAATTTCGGGGAGATTAAAGAGTGTAAAGTTTTATACTGAACAACTAATAATCTGAGTTCAACAGGAATTCTTTCAAAATTTTTATTTTTGACCTCTGGATTACAAAAATATAAATACGTAATACGATAACTAGTAACTCATATACTCATGTACTCCCGGTATATATTTAGTTCGTGTAAAATTTGCAATTAGCCATACATATTTCTAGTTTTGTAAAAAAACATTTCGTAATCAAAAATTATCAAGCAGCGAATAAAAAAAAAATCTATCTACTAGGACTTCTGCATTACACCAATTTTGACGATTTTAAATTTGGAGATCATTTTTTACGAGCAGTCGGGTATAGATACATACAAAAACGGGTGTATCACACCATGTGCAAACATTACTCAGTATTATTCTTAACCTTTCCGTAGAGTATATAAGTAAATAAAATAATAACGATAAAAGATAGATAGTATAAGATAACACCGTCTTTGAATCTTTTATCTGTCACTATTCCACGTAAACCATGAACATGTGTAGTTGATAAAAGGCAATGAAAAGAAAGGTCAAAAATTCCTTTGTATAAAAAGATTAAGTATTCGAATGGGTTCAAAAATCAGTATCATGAAAAAGGGAAAAAAGGATGTTTCTTTCAAATTTGACATAGCTATACACAGTGATATGAAGAAGGATCACTTCATGAATGGTGATGAAAATAATGACATCAGGAACAAAGACATGTTGACTGGACATGATTAAAAACGCCACCTCACAAACCTTAATTATTACTCACAAAAACCACTTCCGCGGAGAATCTGCGCCTCTCATTGTGAAAAAATGACCTGAGCATTATTTGTGTCTTCTGAAAAGGAAACTGACGATCACAGAGTATCACAACGGTATACTCACCTTTAAATGTCACTGCCAACTTTCACGTTTGTTTAATGAATCACTCTGTATTTTTCCTAATTTTTTTTTGCGTTCGTGTAAATGAAACGCGAAAGTAAATCCGAGATATTTATTAAATAATAAAAACAAGAACATTTTAAGTAGTATAAAATATACACCATAATTATAAACATCTTTACAAAAATGTAGCTCTTTGGAAATATATTAAGATTTACAAGTACACTCTATACATACATTTACATTAACTTACATATACTTTACAATAAAATTATAAGGTGTAACAACGATATATTTTCAGTAGAAAAATATATCTTAAAATACATTTAATTTACTAACAGTTAAGAAGGTACACGGATGCGGTTTAAAAATATAATCTATACAATATAGTCGAATTGTTTTAAATACAATTTACTGATCACAAAAAACGAACGGAATAATTCTAATGTATTTTTAATACCCGTTAACAAACTCTTGTTCAGGCGTCTCCCGGAAGATTCCCTTCTTTCGAAAAAAGTTCCAGAGCGCAGAATTCGTTGTATGTGTGTATGTACGACATCGAAGCGAACGAATCCCCCCGAAGACACGATCTAATAAATTAAACAGTTTTTAACAGAACACGTCATAAAGGAGATCTATCATTAACTAAACGAACCGTCAAGATTCTCATCAACAAGGGGCAAAACTTTCCGAAAATTCGAATAATCGGCCTTCGCGAGGCATCAGTTTATTGTCATTTAACAAAGACGTCGATTGCACCATAAAATTAAAGCTCTTTTATCGTATTCGAAAGCACGCGCTACGGTCCGAAATCATGCAGACTGTCCATGATTCTCCTCTCTTCGGACCTGAACAGAAAACGGTTAAACCAGGCCCTCATTCACCAAACGCAAAGTCTTACATGTGCTGCTGCTGCTGCTGTAACTGGAAGTTGTCCAGGTGTTTGTTGATCTCCCTGTGGACGTGCTCCGGCAACACCCCCACGTTCGAGAAGAGGCTCCTCAGCACGTTCAACTCCTCCGTCAGCAGCTCTATTCTCTTCTGCAGTCTTTCATTTTCCTTAATGAGGATCTTCACCTTCTCCTCCGTCTCCCTCGTCCGTACCTTCGCCTTTTCCCGACTCTTCCTCACGGCGATGTTGTTCCGCTCCCGCCGCCTCCGGTACTCGTCGCTGTTCTTATCACAGGGCTTGACGCTCTTCCGCGCCATGTGCTGGTTGAGCATCATGGATTTGCTCTTCATGGCGTTGAGGTTGAGCTGGTGGTGCATGACGGGACTGGGCGTGAGGGTGGTAAAGGTGGCGGCACCAGGGCCGGTGGGGTACGGCGCCGCGCCCATGTATCCATTGGGCAAAACATTACACGGCTGGCGGCGGTACTCCTGCGGGTCCACGGGCTCCTCTTTGATGCTGGGCACGTCGCTCCCGGCCGAGCTGTTCGAGTCGCTGTTGGAGTTCTGGTTCGTGGAGTACGTGGCGCCGCTGTGAACAGGCTGGGGCATGTACGCTAACGTCGTTCTGGGGTAGTTTGACGTCGGCACGCCCATGACCTGGCGCGACTGCAAACCCTGCAGGTGCTTGCCCTGCTGGCTTTGCAGGATGTCGGTGAAGAGCCCGTCCCCGAACTGCGAGTCGTCGATGAGGTTCTGCAGGTCGAGGGAGATCTCGGGGGTGTTGAGGTCGTTGAGCTCTCCATGCTGCTGGTACTGCTGCAGGTGGTGCTGCTTCAACAGCGCCGTCGTCTGCTTCGAGATGCCCCCGTTGTTATTGTTGAGCGTCGTCAAATTATTGTTGTTGCTATTCATAATGACCGACTTCTTCTCCCCGTTCAAACCCCCTGTATTTTGACTCTGGTGATTATCGTACATTTGCGGAGAATCCATTTTTCCGGACAACTTTCACTAGCTCCACTTTCACTGCCGAATTGTCTTCACGTGCACACTTTCCCGAAATTACCCCGATCCGGGCACCATCACACTCAAACTGCCCGAACGACGCGATCAAACTTGCCCTTTGGTGCGTTCGCGCCAACGTGATCTGATCAGGTGTGCTGTCGCAGCCTACTTGGGACCACACCGTTCGTGCGCTTGCCCAAGCCAACTTGATACTGAGATTGCTTAGCCGTATTCCTGCTGTTTGTAGTGGTTAAGCGAGCTCATGCGCACCGGCTCTGACGTACGTTTTGAAAGTGAAACATTGCGATTTGATTTCGTGCGCGCTACATAAAAGCGCGTGTTTTTTTTTTACTTGACGTAATTCGTGTGGATGTGACGGGGTCGATTTTACTATTCTACTAGAGGCGTTTCGAAATCGGGTTTTGTTTTGGTCTTGCTGCGCTTTTCTTCGACTCTGGGTATGGCTGGCCGCGGAAAAATTCGACGGTGGCTTGGTGCGGGTTTTATTATTAACTTTTGTGGGTGGCGGGGCATTTGGGCACGGTTCAAGTGTGGAGGATTTGCGGGTTTTGCTTTTTGCGATGATAAAGCGGGGGATAAAGTAATAATTTCGACGGTCGGGTATTAAGTTGCGTTGTTTTTTCGGAAACTGGCGTCAGGATTGTTGCTTCTGAGAACGTCTTTTCTATTTTGTTGTTTTACGATTTCGTCATAAAAGAGGAATAAACTATTTTCAAGTTTTATTCTTGGAGTTATTTGTGCTAAAAAATAAACAAACTGATAATGGACAAAACATCGACGTTCTGAAAACTGAAATTTAGACAACGACGTTAATTAATCTTAAAAATCGATATCACCGATATTTTGATTTAAGTTTACGAGAAACGTGTAACATTTTTTAAAAAATCCCAAAATTTGTTAATTAAAAACTGACCAAAAATTTCGATTTTCTTGAAAAGTGGAAATATTTTAAATCTTTTTATAAACTTCTAAAAATGGAAATTACAACGTGCTTCATTTGTTTTATTAACAAATAGTATACTACTAGTTCCTGGAAAAGCTACCAAAAGTTTTCAAAAGAAAAAAATTGATATGGTATTCTAATAAAGTTAATTGGTTCAAAATAGGAACTTCATGGCTTTAACTAAACAAACGGACATTTAAGAAATTATTAAAACATTTTTTAATGATTTTTCTCTTTTTTATAAATGAAACGCTTTAAAAATTTTCTTTAAACATCTGCGACGTAACTGAAGAGACAATGCTTGAAGCACGGTAAGCCATTTTTACCCGACTTGTACTGTCGAAGAAACCAAAAAAATACGATTAATCTGTGTGGTACTTATTATATAAAATCAAAGAACAAAACACTACCACGCAAAAGTAAATATTTCATAAAAATAAGTTTCAACCTCGTTTTCCGATCTGAATCTTTTAAACGAAAATTTGTGCAAACTTTAAAGCTCGTGACATCATATGTAAAAATTTTGAGACAGGCAACAGGATTATCTTTTAATTCGTTTTTAGTCAAAATTTTTGAGAATTTTTACCGACCTGAATCTTGGACCTCAAAGAATTCAGCACAGATTGGAATACAGTATTTTTATAATGGCGTCAACAAGTGTGTAAAAAAAGAAACAAACAAGAGTTCTACAGATTTCTCTTTCTTTTGAAATTTCGAAATGTAAAATTACAGTACAAAAAACTGCAAAAGTAATAATTTAAAAATTTGCATTTACCCAAAAAATGTTGAGAACTGTGCAAATATTAGGGTTCAACAAATCCGTCAAAGGAATCCATTATAATTTATTTTTATTAATTTTTCTCTTTTTCAAAGAATTCATTTCAGAACAGTGTTTTTATAAAGACCTCAAGCTTATTAAAGTGTTGTAAAAAATTAAATATGTAGGTACAGAGTTCTCCAAGTTTGTTATAATTTGCCATTATTTTGAAAATTTTTAAACATAAAATTATCGAACAAAAAAATAAACAACGAAATAAGTATTTGACGAATGTCTATTTTCTGTAAGTTCGCGTTTTCTACACGTTTCATAGTTAAACCTCCGTTTTCCTTTGGTTGTACTTTGTTATGTCTATTTCTTGGTAATTTTGTTAGATTGATTATTTCTGAAACTAAAGGACCAGCTATTTTGATTTTTTTTCCTTAAGATATTAGAACATCCACTAACGTGTTCTCGCCTCATCCAAAGTACTAAATACAGAATTTTATAAAATAAATCTCCCTTAAAACGTATAGTAAGTACGATATTCTTCACTGATGGTTTAAAATTATAGTTATATTTTTTAAATTTAAACGTACGAGAAATTTGGAAAACTTAACTTAACGGACTTTTCTAACATTTTCATAAAACACTAACACTGATTGAGTGATTACAGAACCTTACTAAAATATTACATATTTATCCTATCACAAAAATTAGTGACGTCATTTCGGAAGAAATTTTAAACACACTTGAATCGATTTGTCGAAATTTACAATTTTTTCTTTAAATTAGTAACAAATGAAACAACTTTGAATAGTCCCTTTACACACATATTAAATTTGAAATCTTAGAACAGTTCTGCTTTCTTTTATTCGTGAACTTTTTCTTTTGCGAAATTTTAAAGTGTTTTTGGATTTCGAATTTTCAAAACGTTAAGAAGAAAAAAAAAAGTTGGGTTAAGTTGACAAGTTCTTTTATTAATACGAAGTTGTAAAAATTAAGCGTTTTAAAACTGTTTCGAATTTGAATATCTTCAGATATTCTAGAAATCCAAAATTGTATTTATTATGTGTTTACTTCTTATGGAAGCACAAATATTGCAATCAATTTAGAACAATCTTGGAATTTTTACTTTAGCCATACACAATCATATTAATTTGTCTGCACTGTTCATCCAAACTTTTAAGAAAAGGTGCTGTAATACGATGAATGCCGATTTTTTTAACTTTCTGTTGTAGAAGAAATCCATACAGTTAATCAATTTATTATATAAATCTGACCTTAAGACTACTGCCCTGACCTGACCTGATCTGATCTCACCTCAGGGTTCTCTGTTTTACAAACTTAATGGTTCTTTAAAAAACTAATTTCGATCAAAATTTCGGCAAATATAATAAACTAAAGCTAATCCATTTTAATTATTTAAACTAAAATTGGTTTATAGCAGTCCTTGCAGATTCAACCGCCCCTTTAATCATGATTAACTGAGAATAATTCATAAAACAAAATTAAAAAATAGTTATAGTAATATGAAAAGCAACACATTTTGCACAGCACAGAAGTTGTTTTCATACATTATGAACAGATGGATGAACAAAACATAAAACCAGATTCAGTGTCAGTTTTCTAGTAACTTTGACATTTCTGCAAACCCATTATTTTTAAGTGATAACCAAAATAACCTCCACTTTTCCACACACAAAAGCCGGCATTATTTGATGTTATAGCATTTTTAAATGGATTTTTAACCTAATGACATGAATATTAATTTTAGAAATCTGTTATGCAAATTACATCGTAAAACGTTTGGTTTTACTTTCATTGATGGCATTTAGCGCGTTAACAGTTCAAGTAGCCATAGCTTAAAATTCTAAAATTGGCCCAGAAAAATACCACAATGTTTCTGTAACAATCAACCTTAACCACGACAACTTATCTTCGCCTTGATAGTCCTACGCCAATTTTTTTTATAAATTTTATTGTAGAATGTTATCTTCCCGCTACCGGAAATCGCATAAATCAAGAATCCTTGCCAAAAATTCGCTGATATTTTCAAAACTGTGTTCAAGGTGCTCGTTAGAACATGTGGATCGGATTTATTGCTTTCGGCCTCATTTGAATCCTTCATTCCACCACAATAATTAGAAAAGCCATTGGAGATAAGTCGCTTGTGTTAGACACTTGCGTTATTCATCATCGTGTAAGAAGCGGCTTAGTGATAGGAGATAAGAATCTGTTTTTAGAGAAAAAATTCCTTGACCTACAAACGTGGGGGCAAAGGAGAGTGTGTCTGCTTAAAAATTTCATCGAAAATTGTTTCCTTATGGGCGATAACAAATACAGAATCTAATCAATTCATTGCAGTGAGTATAAAGACGTGGTAAGGCTAGTGGGAAACACGTCTAGACGGAATTAGAGGAAACGGAGAAATGTGATCATTTCCTGCATGGAAAACATGAAAATAACTCATACTGCTAATTATGAATGCACGCGTCCTTCCCCAAATTATACGTACGGTTTTAATCGAATTAGTTTTTTCCGATTTTCCAGTGTATTTTGTTTCAAGGATTTACACTGTCACGCTAGAACGATTAAACTGATGTATTTTAAGATACATGCAGTTCTAAAATTGTACCTAGTAGGTTTCTCTATTATCTTTTTTTATGACTAATGTCCGATATGAAAGCGTTGATAATGTCTAAAATTGAAAAGTGGGAGCTGGCTTATAAGCACACATGTTAAAGATCAGATTAAGATCTTTTACTCTGTACCTATTAATGTGACTAGAATTGAAAATAACCGCAGCATAGCCTGTAGGTGTGTTGTTCTTGCTTAACACATTTGATTTTGATTGTTTAAACGTTAAGTTGTTCACGTATATATGTCCTTTATCATTAAAGACTAATAATGGAGGTACATTGGGAATATGAAGTATCAGATTACATGTCATCCATTAGTTTTTTCTTGTAAACGTTTCTTCCACAATAAAAATAAAATCACTTTGTTTGGATTTTTACCTAAAATTGTTTCAATTTTTTATTTTTTGAAATGAATCAAGAATCAAGAATCCCTTCATGTTTAAGAACTACCTTCAACCATCGAAAACTTTATTTAGTTTGTGGCCTCAGAAATAAAATTTTCGTTTTTAGTTTCTTGTTACAATCAGATTACAACCTAAGTTTTTCACGAGTTTATTAATTAGTTTTTAATTTTTTAAAATTTATTTTAAAATACATCAGCAATCTTAAAATTCAAATTATGGATCGCAGGATTTCTAGTGTGAAAGCAGCACAGTCGTCTTAAATCGTCTTTTGTAGTCACTTGTTTCATCCGAGATTTAATTTTAAATGTACGTCGATTGAAACTGATCTTAAAACTACATTTTTAATATTTCATTTTTATTTGAAATTCATTCCTCTTTTGAAAATAAAAAAAAAACAATTCTTCATGTGCTATTCTTTATCGGCTGATCAACCAGCTTTCATTCATGTTTGATGTCCACATATTTCCATAACACTCTCTCTCTCTGCTTCTCCCTCTCCCCCCTCTCTC